AATATTCCAGGAGAAGATTCTTCAAGATGATAAAATTGTTACACTGCCACATGTGTATAAATGTATTGAGAGGAGATATATACAACTGTGGAAGGGTTTGAGGATAAATTAATAGTAAGTACATAGAAAATCTAGCAAGCAAACTTACAAAAACTAAGTAAATAATGAACTCTGAGGAAACAATACAATATTATGCAGAAAAGGACAAATAACATTATACTACATAATTCAAATATGAAAAACATTTACATAAACATTGAATATCAAACTAATCAAAATTATAAAATAATTATACTGGGAAGATAAGAAGTATACATGTAGGTGAAACACTTGGTAATTAATAAGATACTTTGAAATATATTTTTAAAACCTCACATTTCATAGTAGGAAATCAATCAACAATGCTTAGCACTAAAAAAAAGAGAAAAAGTAGTGATAAAAACATATGAGACTGCTGGTTTTTCTCCAATATCTGCCTTCTCTCTCTTCCAGAATAAAAGAACTTATATTGGCTTCCCTCAATATAACTGCATTTGTAGCTTCCCTTGCAATTAGGTATGACCAAGTCATTAGCCAATGGTAGGTAATTGTGATAATTTCTGGGAATCCCCTTTCTGGTACATTCGTTGCCCCTTCTTTCTCTCCAATTTTGCCATGCTGCCTGGACCATACATGCCATAATTTTGGACCTTGAGGACAAGGAATATATTGTAGAGATGGCATACTGGAAGATAGAAGGTACCAAAGTCTTTGAGGATTTCACAGGAGAGAACTGCTATGTCAGTTCTAAATTGAATATCCCTGAATTTGTACATGGAATTGAAATATCTTGTGTAAGCAACTGTTATTCTGAGTCCTTTTGTTACTCACAAACAAGCCTACTACTAATTAATACAGCACATAATTTATAGATAGAGGTATATACCAAAAAAATCACCTGAAAGAATGGGAAGTGGTTGACTCTGGCTATTGGAAAATGGTAGGAGGGAAGGAGTGAGAAATGTTGTGTGTTTTTTTTGTTTGTTTGTTTGGGGTTTTTTTGTAGCAAGTTCTATAGCATTTGACTCCTTAAGTTATGTGAATGCATAACTTTGAGTTAAAAAATAAAAATAAGTGACAATTACAACAAAAACATGTGTTCTTCACTTTTTTGTCTTTGTGTTTGGCTTTTACTTTGACTCCTCATACCAAAGCTCTATTCCATTTTCTCTTCAGTCATTTGTATTCTCATGTTATCCCTCTAGCTAGAGTTTGAGCACCTTAAAAATAGAAAATGTGGATCCAAGATGACTGCTAACAGGACGGTAGGTTCAAGATAGTGTGTGAGTGAGAGAACAAAAGCAGAGTACGTGGGTGTGCAGGGGGTGTCTGTATTTGTGAGAGAGGGACAGCCATATTCCATAGGACTGTAGGGGGATGGAAGACCAGGATCCCCTAGCCGGGCAGCCTCTACTACTACTGAAAACTCTCTCTCTTCTGTAGGGACTGTGCCATCTTGAAGGGGAGACCAGCTGTGATCGGAAGTCTGGCTTACCTTCAACAGGGGAGACCTCAGATACCTCCCAGGGAACAGGGGAGACCTCAGATCCCTCCCAGGGACCTACAACCACAATGCCCAGGGACCAGATGCCTCAGCTGTTAACCCAAGATCACCAAGACTCCAGTCTCCCTGACTATGGGCATCTAAAAAGTCTGTCCAGTGGGAGACAAAGCAGCTGAATATGCGAACAGTCCCTGCCAGGGCCTTCTCACAGAGCAGATAGAAGGAACAGCTGAATTGAAAAACACCCACCCGGAATTGGCGAATTCAACACAGCTGGTGAGACAATCCATGGATGGAAAGGTCAGATATCGCCTAGAGAAAGTCAACATGCAGGAGAGAGAGAGCTACATAACCAGACACCCTGAAAGGAGCAATCATGGGGAAACAAAGTAACAGCCCACATCAAAAAAAGGAGGAATCGCCAGAAAAGGAAGTAAATAAAATTGAGGTAAGCAATATGTCAGAGAAAGAATTCAGAACAATGGTCATAAGGACACTGAAAAGGTTGTAAGACAAATTTAACAATATGCGTAAGAACCAGAGGAAATGAAGAAGAACCAAAAAGAAATGTAAAATGACATTGGTGTAATAAAGAATTCAATAGAAAGCATCTACAGTAGACTAGAAGAAGTGGAGGGCTGCATCAGAGAACTAGAAGACAAGGTAGGAAAAAATACCCAAACAGAGCAGTGACTAGAAAAAAAAAATTAAAAAAAAAAAAACAGGAGGAGAGTCTAAGGGAACTTTGAGACAACATGGAATGAAACAACATCTGCATAATAGGGGTACCAGAAGGAGAGGAAACTGAGAAAGGAACATAAAACCAGTTTGAAGCTATGTTGACAGAAAACTTCCCTGACATTGGGAAGAAAAAGCTCGCACAAATTCAAGAGGCTGACAGAGTACTAAACAAGATGATTGCCAAAAAACTGACACCAAGACACATTATAATTAAATTGGCAAAAACCACTGAAAAAGTAAGAATCTTAAAGCCTGCCAGAGAAAGACAGAAAGTTATCTACAAAGGATCTCCCATCAGACTGTCAACTGATTTTTAAACAGAAACACATCAGGCCAGAAGGGAATGGGATGAAATATACAAAGTCATGCAAAGCAATTGAGCATTTGTGGGACAAAGTTAAAACAGCCATCAGGCAGCTGGTTTCACAACTATCAAATTTCACAGAACTGGACAGTGCTATTCAGGAGGCATGGCATCAGATTTCTCGCATCATCAATTTTCATCATCTCATGGAGTCAATGCCAGGAAGAATTGCCGCAGTATTGAAGGCAAAAGGTGGCCCAACGAAGTACTGATGGGGTGGTCATAATAATCTGGCCATTCAGTGTATATTTCAGATCACCTCATGCAATTTTTACACAATGTACATGAGATATATTTAAAATACCACAAGATTGACTCATTTAATTATGCAATAAAATGTTTTTAATATATTCAAAGCGTTGTGCAACAATCACCACTGTTTAATTCCAAAATATTTTTATCATGAAAAAAGGAAAACCTTTGCCCTTTAGCAGTCACTCCCCATTCTTCCATACACCCAGCTGCTGGCAACCACTAAGTTGTCTCTGTAGATGTGCCAATTCTGGACATTTCATATAAATATAATTATACTAGAGGCTTGGTGCACGAAATACATGCATGGGGATAAGGGGTTCCCACAGCCCAGACTGCACCTTCTCCAATCCAGAACCCCTTAGGGGATGTCCGATTACCACTCACAATCTGTTCCGTTGGACATCCCTCTCACAATCCGGGACCGCTGGCTCCTAACTGCTCACCTGCCTGCCTGCCTGATCATCCCTAACTGATCCCCCCCCACCAACTCTTGCTTCAACTGCCCCCCCCTGCCAGCCTGATTGCCCCCACTTCCTCCCTCACCCCATCCAGGATTCCCTCCTCCAGCCAGTCACAGGCACCCGGGACCTTGCTTCCCTCCCTCTGGCTGGCCGCAGGCACCCAGTACCCGGGCTGGCTTCACCTGGGCCAGCCGCAGCCACAGGTGACCATGGGTAGGCAGCTTAACCTGGGCCGCAGCAGCTGGTGCCCAGGACTGTGGGGCAAGCGGCTTGTCTCTCTCCTGGACCGCAGGTACTAATGCAGCCACTGGCACCCGGGACCACAAGGACCATGGGGCGTGTGACTTGTCCCTTTCCTGGGCTGCAAGTACAGATGCAGCCACTGGCGACCGGGACCACAAGGACTGTGGGGCGTGTGCATTGTCCCTCTCCTGGGCCACAGGTGCAGGCGCAGCAGCTGGCTCCCAGGACTATGGGGTGGGTGGCTTGTCCTCCCAGGCCACAGGTGCAGATGCAGCCGCTGGCGCCCAGGACCGTGAGGACCGTGGGGCGTGTGGATTGTCCCTATCCCGGGCCGCAGGCACAGGTGCAGCAGCTGGTGCCTGGGGACACGGGATGGGTGGCTTGTCTGTCTCCCGGGCCACAGGCGCAGATGTAGCCACTGGCACCCAGGACCACAGAGCAGGCGGCTTGACCCTCTCCTGGGCCGCAGCCTGGTTGGTCCCCATTCCTCTATCATGAGCTCATTTGTGCCTGGCTGGCCCCCATTCCTCTCTCCTCAGTGTTGAGTGTCTGAGCTGTTAAGGTATGATGGCGTGACAACCATTGCATATTAGCTCTTTACTATATAGGATAATATGTGGTCCTTTGTCACTAGCTTCTTTCACTTAGCATAATGTTGTCAAGATTTATCTATTTTGTAGCATACTTTAGTATTTAATTCCTTCATACAGCTCTATAATAGTCCATTATAGGCATATACCACATTTTGTTTACCCATTAACTTGATGAACATTTTTTTCTACTCTTTGTTATTATGAATAACACTGTTGAGAAAATCCATATGTAAGTTTTTAAGTTGACATGTGATTCATTTCTTTGGGTTATATGCATAAGAGTGTAATTTCTCAGTTATATAATTTATTTGTTAAAATTTTAGAGAATGGTTTTAAAAAGTGACTAAAACATTTTACATTTTCACCAGAAATGTATAATGGTTCCAATTTCTCTACCTCCTATGTAGCAGTGGTTATCTGTCTTTTTTATTCCAGCTATCATAGTAGATACTAAGTGGTATCTGATTGTGGTTTTAATTTTCATAATTACAAGTAATGTTGAACATATTTTTGTGTGTTTATTGACCATTTGTAAATCTTCTTTGGATAAATGTTTAGTTAAATTATTTGCTTATTTTAAAATTGCATCATTTGCCTTTTATTATTGAGATGTAAAAGTTCTTTATATAGTGTGGATATACGTTTCTTATCAGGCATATGATTTGAACATATCTCCTCCTATTATGTGTTATTTTTTAAAATTTACTGATGGTATTATTTACATAACCTCATATATTTATTAAAGCTTTCATTTAAGATGCTCATCAACAACACCATGAAAATTACTGAAAATATCTTACCCGAACAATTTCACAGTCAACATTTAATTCAGTTGCAACTGCTTCAATTTTCTCTCTACAGATAGATCCAAGGCTGGTCATGCCATTGTCCCAGTATTTCTTAAGAGTGGCTAAGTCTCTGTCACTGAACTGAGTGCGGTCTTGTAGCTGTAGAACAAATTTAAAAAATTAGAATAATCAAAGCAAAGACTATTATAAATAGGATCATCATGGTGAGATGTGCTAGGTTACTTACGATATATACATTTGTTAAATTAATTATGCAATTCTTACTCTGTGTTCCCCCATTTTGAAATGGACATTTTCATGATATTTATAACATGAAAGTGTACTAGAATAAAAATTTTAGCTGATAGCAATTAAGTGATGTTTCTTGTAAAAGGTTATAATCACACAAATAATTCATGTCATTGTGAAAAAAAAACAGATACGTTTTAAAAAGAAGAGAATTTCAATTACACACAATCCTGGAAAAAACATTTGTTAACATTCTAATGGATATTCTTTCAACCTTTTTTCTATGATATATACATTTACATTCACACTACATATATTTAGAAATAATAGGGTCAGGCTCTGGCCAGGTTGCTCAATTGGTTGGAGCGTCGGCCTATGCACCAAAGGGTTGTGGTTTGATTCCCAGTCAAGGTACATAACTAGGTTGCAAGTTTGATCCCCAGTTGGTGCACGTTCAATGTATCTTTCTCACCTGGATTTTTCTCTCTCCATCTCCCTTCCTCTCTCTCTCAAATCAATAAAACTATATCTTGAAGCGAGGATTTTTTTAAAAAGTGGGGGAAACCAGGGTCAGGATTACATCACTGTGCTGCCTTTTGATAATTTAATCTAAATTTCCATACACATAGCTCTCCTAAAAATTTTATAATTAATTAAGAAGGCATATAAAAATGTAAGAAGATAATATAGCCCTAAGAAAGCAATCATATTTATGACTTTAGGGAGTTTCATAATTAGCCTATCCTTTTTATTCTTAGGGTTTTTAAACCAATAAACTATGGACTTTATATATTGTTTTAATTCAATAAATCCTGGAGGCATCCTTAGGAAGTAAATTAGAAGCAAGATAGAATATTGATCTCCAATTTGCTGATAAGGAGTCAGAAAAAGAAGGGCCAAAGGACACATTAAACAGGGCACAGTGAGTCCATGGCAGATATAGAGATAGGAATATTCTGATTTTATTCTAGTAGCTTTATCCCTATGATGTCTCCAATTATCTCAAGAGGTGGTGAGAAAAAAAACTAAAGATGAATTTTAATTAAAATATATCCTGTAAAGCCCTATATATGCATATGTGTGTTTGTGATGAGAATGGGTGTGAGAGAGCTAGAGAGCAAGAGAACGCCTGTGAGAGTGAGTGAGCTGACAGCAAATGTTACAAATCATGGCATGAGGTATAAGACTGCCTTTGCATAAGAAAATATGGTCTGGTCACACATGGAAGCTAGACTTCAAATCCTTCCTATACATACACTGCTTTCAACATTTCCTTCCCAGCAGAAATTTAAAGTGAAACACTCTCTTAAATTGGATTTGGGTAACAATGGAAAATAATGTATATAATATATAAAACGTAAATAAAAAGTTATTACAGCCAAAACTCATGTAATACTTCACAATAGGTGCAAATTTGTTTTGAAGCTACATCCTTTTGAAAAGGAATTTTAGCTATCAGGAGGAAAACCAATATGTGAATTACTAGTTTTCTACTGTAATAGTGAAGTTAGAGTACATAATTAATGTGTCTCTTCATAAGAAATATAGTACATTTTATGTTAATTTCCTCATTGTTAAATCTGTTCTTCCACTTCTTGAAAAACTCTAATAAGTAACATTTATTTCAAGTACTAGTACAAATGACATGTTCCCAATAAATAAATCAAAACATGCCATCCAAATTTTTAATCAAATGGAATAACCCGCAAGTTATTTACAACATAAAAATCTCATTAGGTACCCATCCTCTATTGATTGTTCAATACTTGTGGAGATAAACTTCTCAATATAAAACTGAGAGCAAAATAAATGGTAATAAGGTTGTAAGTAGATTCAAATAGTTCATAACAGTCAGCATAAATATTCCTATATTTTTCCATTGCTATTGCACCAAATTCTTCAGTGCAAGCTAGTCTAAATTACTGTCAGAAAGGAAGAAATAATGAACAGAAAACTGAAACACACTCAGCCAATTAATTTGTAATTCATTTAGAGGACATCCAAAGCTGATTCATCTCTTAAACTGAACTAAATAAAGCCTGATTCGATTTGTTAGAAACATGCTGGGATGTCATACTTAGCAATGCTGAAGGTGACTTATGACATTGCCTATGAAGTAGAAACTTATGGAGGAAGAATGATTATTTTTAAAGCTACTAAAAGCTTTAAATAATAAAATAAAGTAATAAAAATCAATTAGCATTATAACTGAATAGCCATTTAGAATAAGAAGAAATGTTAAGTTCTTCCCTGAGGAAGTCTGAAGATTAAATCAGTTTTTTCTTCCTATTAGACTTTAAAGCCACTTTCATTTTACAAGACATACCACAGCCTAACCCTTGGCTCAAGTGAGGGAGACATATTAAATATATTGTTGATTTTATGAAGAGTAATGTTCCAGTAACATTGAAAATCAAGGTGAAACCTTAGGGTTGATTCAAGTGACCAGGTAATTGTGTAAACTTCACTATTGCAACACAACAGAACCCTTTTGGCCTCTTTACCAGCCTCAAGGACATTTCCAGGAAATGAGTTCTTTGCTCCCCTTTTTAAATAAAATTAGGTGACAAAACTGATATTGGAGAGCAAAATTTCATGTTTTAATTATGTATTTCAATTAAATGCAGAACTGAACTATATATATTTGTACTCAGAAACAATCCCTTCAAAATGAGAACTATTAAAATCCTTTTTAAAATCAAATTTTTTAATTACAGTTGACATACAATATTACATTAGTTTCAGGTGGACAGCATAGTGATTACACATTTAAATACCTTAAGAAGTGATCACCTCCAAAAAGTATAGTACCTACTGACACTATACATAGTTCTTACAATATTAATTATATTCCCTATGCTATATTTATATCCTTGGGACTATTTTGTAACCAACCTGTATTTCTTAAACTCTTCACCCCTTTCATCAAGTTCTCCAAACACCCTCCATTCTGATAACATCAATCTGTTTTCTTTATATATGAATCTGTTTCTATTTTGTTCTTTTAGATTCCACATGTAAGTGAAATCATATGGCACCTATCTTTCTCTGACTGACTTATTTCACATAGCATAATATTCTCTAGGTCAGTGGTCAGCAAACTCATTAGTCAACAGAACCAAATATCAACAGTACAACGATTGAAATTTCTTTTGAGAGCCAAATTTTTTAAACTTAAACCATATAGGCAGGTACATTGTTATTAACTTAATTACAGTAATCCTAAGGCTTAGGAAGAGCCACGCTCAAGGGGCCAAAGAGCCGCATGTGGCTCGTGAGCCGCAGTTTGCCAACCACTGCTCTAGGTCCATCCAAGCTGTCACAAATGGTACTATTTCATTCTATTTAATAGCCAAGTAATATCCCATGTATATTTGTACCAATACTTTCTTATCTAATCACTTAGTTACTTTCCTATCTTGGCTATTATAAATAATGCTGCAATGAATATAGGTGTGCATATATTCTTTTGAATTGATGTTTTGGGTTTCTTTGGATAAATATCCAGAAATGGAATTGCTAGGTCATAAGGCAGTTCCATTTTGATTTTTTTCAGGTAACAACATATTGTTTTCCATAGTGACTAAATCAATCTGTGTTCCCACCAACAGTGCACAAGGATTCCCTTTTCTCCACATCTAGATCAACACTTAATTGCTTGTTGATTGATTGAAGACAACCATTCTAACTGGTATGAGGTGACATTGTGATTTTAATTTGCATTTATCTGATAATTAGTGTTGTTGAGATCTTTCAGTATGTTTATTGGCCTTCTGAATGTCCTCTTTGGAGAAGTGTCTCTTCAGGTCCTCTTGATTTTTCAATTTGATTTTTTAGATTTTATTTAGTGTTGAGTTCTTCAAACTTTTTAGATATTAACTACCAAGGACGCATCATGGCCAAATATTTTCTTCCATTCAGTAGATTGTGTTTTCATTTTGTTGATGATTTCCTTGCTTTACAAAAACTTTTTAGTTTGCTATAATCTCAATTTGTTACTTTTTTCTTTTTTTTCCCTTGCAGAAAAAATATTGCTAGGAGAAATATTAGGTATTTTACTCCTTATGTTTTCTTCTAGGAGTTTTATGGTTTTGAGTCTTACATTAATGTCTTTAATCCATTTTGAGTTTATTTTTGTAAATGGTGTAATAAAATGGTCTAGTTTTATTTTTGCATGTTTCTCTTCAGTTTGCCCAACACCATTTATTGAATAGACTGTATATACACCATTGTATGTTCTTGCCTACTTTCTTATACGTTAATTGAGCATCTAGGTGTAGGTTTATTTCTGGGCTCTATTCTGGTCCATTGATCCATGTGTCAGTTTTTATGCCAGTCCATTGTTGTTTTGAGTATTATAGTCTTGTACTATAGTTTGATATTGGGTAACCTAATACCTCCAACTTTGTTCTTTCTTAAGATTGCTGTGGCTCTTCACGGTCTTTTGTGATTCCATACAATTTTTTGATTTGTTCTAGTTCTGTGAAAAATCTCAAGGGTATTTTGATGAGAATTGAGTTGAATCTACAGATTGTTTTGGGTAGTGTGGGTATTTTAATGATTTCACTTCTTCCTACCAATGAGCAAGGTATATGCTTCAAATTATTTGTAGCTTCTTCAGTTTCTTTCTTTAGAGTCATATGATTTTCTGAGTACAGGTTTTTTACCACTTTGGTAAAATTTATTCCTACACATTTTATTTTTTATGCAGTTGTTAGGTTAGGGGTCATGAGATGCATAGCCTGTGTCACCTTCTGCCATTATGTGGGGACAAAATACCATGTAGTTCCTCCAAGTTTTGGAGTCCCTAACCAGTTGCTTTCTTTCCATCCTTCAGAATTATCTTTTGGTGGCCTCCTGTATTACTTGCATGGTATATAGTTCTATTTTGTGGGGAAAAATAAAAAGGAGTCTACATAATCCTGTCCAGTACTACTGTCATGGCTTCCATTTTATTATCCCCAAACCTATCTAACATACAATAACTTGAGTTATCTTTCTAAAAGTCTATTTTGTCTCTTGTATATTAAAATCTTTTAATAATTTCCCATGTATGGGCCAGTTATACCAAAATTTTCTAATGTACTTGTTAAATGCAGATTTATGGTCCTCTACAGACCAACTGAGCAGGATTTGTTGAGAAAACACAATTTCAATGTAGTTCTCTTATATTCATATTATAAACATCACAAAAGTTATAGCATAAAAGCAAGATTGTTAAAGTTTTAGTTATTCATCACTGGTAAATGCCAAAGTGCACTATTACTACTAATATAGATTATTTAATGTTGATTGAGATGTTTATATCAATCATAATTCAATTATATGATCATATTAACTGGGTTCAATAGATGTAGAAAAGTATGATGTTTTATTAAATATCTCTGAATGCTTTTTAAAACTGCAAAAACCTCCTCAAAGATTATCCAGTGTGCTGACTACTGCATTTTATTTGTTACTTTTGTAGTATATATAAATAATATAATCACAAAATATATCCTTTGAGATAACACAGTCTTATTGAGGTTCAGTTTTTCCAACTTTACAAATATTATTATAATTTTCTCAATGACATTCTCACTAACAACATAGGGGAAAACACATTTATTCCAGAAAGATTACTTACTGCTCTTTTTCTAGAACACCCTGTAATCCAAGGCACAGTTAGGTTTCCTGAAATCTGTGGAAACAACAAATGGAATCTCAGTAAGGTATGCATTCCTCCAACTTGGAAAGCTGATCAACACAAAAAAATTCATATAAGACTTCAAGATAGATTTTTATTCAGAGCATATTCTCCAACTAGACAATCCTGTTTCCTTACTGAATGCAACAGATTGAAAGGGCCTTCTTTGGTGGGGAAATTTTAGAAGTAGTCCAAAGTACCCCTGAAAATTCAAGAAACATTATGGGACATTTTTGAGGCCTGGAAGTATGATTTAGAAATCTATGGACAATAACATTTTTATAATAAAATTGCAGTGTTCTGTGGGATTAGTTACAATAATTAAATTATTAACTGTAGTCATCATGTTGTATATTAGGTTTCAAGATTTATTCATCCTACATAAATTTAAGTTTATTTTTAAGCAGAAACTATAAGGCAAATAAATAGCTAGCAGCAGCTTACTACATCAGCATTGCCACACAAGCAGATGCCATTCCAGTTGGATTGGGGGATTGTTATAGAAACCAAGGTAATTCCATGACAGACAATGGTCAGACTGTACTTTGCCATACTTTTTTTCCTGGGACACACAAAGATTTGGAGTACTTCAAATTCTCATTTGCCCTCTCCTTCCTTCTCAAACATGTACCTCCTGAGAAACTGATAAGGCAAATCAATCTTGCTAAGTTGTGGGAAAATGGTATTCAATCAAGCATTTGTTGTGTTTGATGAATTATATTCAGTCATAGCTTATGAATTACTATTATTCCTACTAATAAGAAGAGATGATCAGTCAATGTAATAGTAAAGTAATATTATCAATTATTTAAATTATTACCATACTTGGCCACTATACTTGCTATTTTACTTTGAGTTCAAAATACACCAATATGCTAAGGATAGGCTAAACTGATATAAATTCCAAGTAATACTTTTAAGAAAAATTTAAAAATATAGTTGCTCAAGTTAAAATACCACGATAGTAAAATGTCAATTAACTAGAATCCCTGAGAGTCATGAAGTTTGAATAATTTATTTTTAAAATAGTGAACTGAGAGTGATGACAAAATTTCTATGGAAATATTCTTCAAAATATATAGTTTCTTGTCTTCCACCAATAATTAGTAAGTGATGTAATGTTTATAAAATAAATTGATTGCTAACCTCAATGAATGAGGTAATGCTGCTAAAATAATCATATAATATATTCTTGAAAAAATAGAGATATCCAACCATTTTGGACCATCTCTTCACATACTCCCATCTATTAGGATAATGTTTAAACTGACTATATAAAGTTGTTAGAGAAAGCATGTTAAACCGAATGAATTACAAGAGACCCAGTAACTACTGAAAACTCACATATAAAATAATACATATAATAAAAATGGATAATATAATTTCTTTAAAGACGGACACTATACATTTTAATAATATAAAAAGTGGTTTCTTGCTTAAGCCAATTGTATGCAATGAATACAATTGAAAACTTCTATAAGCACATTAATATACCAATGCTATAAATCCCATGAGATTTGTGAAGAGATGACTTTCACTTTTTTGTTTTATAGCCCTCTATTGTTGGCGTTGAATCTGTTCTTTAGTTCTGTATGTTTCTGGTAAAACTCAGAACACCCAGGCATAGTAATTGAACTTGTAAGCTTTTTTGATTCAAAGTACTGTATAAATGTTTCCCATCAACTTGGGAAATTTTGTTTGGTGCGATAGTGATGGCAAAGTTTCTCCTTCACCAGAAACTATAAAATACAGTATTTTAAATTAGCAAGGAAATATACTTCTTGTTTAAGTAATATTTAAATTCCAAATACATTTTTAATATTCTAGTTTAGAAAACTGCAAAATTAATCTACAAAGAGCCAAGACGCATTTGACAAATATGTTATAACTCACACATCCAAATGAGTACTGTATGCTTCAAAGTAGAAAACTTAGGAAAGCATTTAGGGAACTTTCCTTTTGGAGTATTTTGTTCATGACTCATCCAGAGATTCTGTCTCATTACTTCAGATTTCTTTTTCAATAACTGAAAATATAACAGCCCAGATTGAAAATTTATATTATTCACTAAACCTGACTAAGAATAAATTTTACTTTCCAAAATCAAATTTTCCCTCAAATGATGAGAATTTGTCACCACTGAAAGCTTTTTAAATAATCCCACAGGCCCTTAAAACAATTGTGAAAGACTTCAAAAACTTTTTGACAAATTGAACTTTATTGCAATAAGTATAGATAACTTCCAACGGTAACTTATTTGAATTCTGTTCAAATATTTATCAGGCATCTCTTCTGTACTAGGTGCTGTACATGAAATAAAACTAAGGTAGGTAAAACATAATTCCTTGGAGGGCAAGACCTATGATCTGAGAGAGAAAAATAAAACAAGTACCTGAGTGATTTTAGTACAAAGAAAGCTATGATAAGTGTCTTAAGGAAGGTACAATAAATGAAGTGTTATAGAAAATCAAGATATGGAAAAATTGCATCAACTTGAGTATTGATATCTCAGCCAAATTTTAAATGATGAGAAGAATTTTGATAGGCAGAAATAAAAAAGCACTCTCGGGAAAAAGAGTAGTATGAGTCCAGAGGAGTAAAAGGATAAGGTATCTTTGGGAATTGTCAGTTCAATTAGAACTAGAAAGGGAGTTGGGGGTCACTTTGTTAAGGCCATGAATACCAAGTACATTTATATATAACTAAAGGCTCGGTGGAAGGATTAGCGCATTGGTCTGAGGCGTGGCTCATCCCGGTCAGTTGAGTGACTGTGGACCCACCTTCTGAGTGGCTGCTGAATGAGGAAATTAGGCTGAGCTGATATTTTGGGGTAATGTCTTGGGTAAAGGCATGTTCTGTGTCCTGGAGGAACCTGGCGGAGAAATTTGCACCCCAAAGCCACTCAGTGAATGTCCTTGATGTGTGACAGGTTGGTGACACCATCAGGGATGTTCAGGGCAGCCATACACCAGGATCCTCAGCTATCAGGATAGCCTCCCCAGGGGGCCCACAGTCACGTCCCTTCTTGCCATCTGCCTATGTCAGCTCCCCGTGCGTGCTCTTTCTAGAACACACCTTAAAAGGCCTGCATCAGCTGATGGGGTCAGGTCAGAGTCTGGATTATCTCAAGTATTTATAGGTGCAGAGACTGGGCCTCATCCTGGGCTTGCTAGTGGCTGCTCCAACTGTGGGAGCAGCCGCTCATCCTAGTCAGCCAAGCAGTGCTCCCACTGTGGGAGCACACTGACCACCAGGGATCAGCTCCTGCATTGAACGTCTGCTCCCTGGTGGTCAGTGCACTTCATAGCAACTGGTCAACTGGTTGTTCTGGTCATTTTGCTGTTCGGTCGCTGGGCTTTTATATATATAGATTCTGTAGAATACAGGGAGCCATTGAAGGTTTTTAATCAAATGGGTTGTATGATCAGAATTGTATTTTTATACACTTGGATGATTAATTTGACTAAATGTGTATATTGAATTGAATAAGTATAGAAACTTTAATAATATTTTAGTCAAGAGGTAAGTAATCCAAGTTTGGAACTAAATTAGGGGAGGTAGAAAATGAGAAGAGAAATATAAAACATATTTCTAAGGAAAAATCTTGTGCATGAGATAGAAGAAAACTAGACGGTCTGGTGATTACTGGAATAGTCTTTTTATGGACATCATAAAACTGAATGTAAATGCAAGGAAGTGCCTAATGGAGATCTGCTACTCTTGGCTAAGAGAAGATACACTTATTTGAATATAAACTGGAATCACATTATGTGGATAGTTAAGGTTTGTGAATCCAATTATTATATGTTTATCTTTCTCATGAAAAATTATGCTTATAATAGATACCATAGATACCATAGATTACAATATTAATTACATATTATATATACACATTACTGTATACGGTTACATATTCATAGGAAGGCATCTGTATAGTCAATTTGATAAATGATATAAAAAATGTTAAAGGAATTTTACTATGTTTATTTTTATTAAAGCTTATTAAAGGCAAGATATCATGTTTAAAACAATTTAGTTTAGGAAACTAAGATGGCGGCAGAGATAAACACCAGGAAGTTGATGCCGCTCACAACAATTGATTAATACCTTAGAAAAACAATTCGGACATCATCCAGAACCACAGGAAGCCTGGCTGACTGTAAATTCTACAACTAGAAGGAAAGAAAAGCACACTGAGAGCAAGAGAAGCTGCAGAAGAGAAGCGCAGAGGTACAGGGCTCGCGCGCGCGGAAAGGGGCTGGCACCCGAGGACGCGGCGGTCTTTTTGAATCCGGAGGGAGTCACAAGCTCCCGACGGCTCTGAACTCCGGTTCCGGGAAGTCTCTGGGGACCCAGGACTCATGCGGGGAGAAACTGGACTGTCTGGCAGCAGGCGAT